GAAAACTAACACACAAATACACAAAAGGTGTTTTAGTCTATAGGAGGGTGGACGAGGGTAAACATGCTGAACTTCTCTGGCTCCCAATATATGTTTCAAATGATGTGCTATGATGCAGCGATTGATGTGGAACATAAAAATATGCTCTGTTGTTGCCTTATTAAAACTTATGAGCCTTATTATCTATGTGCACTACTGTTTGCTCAGAGCGATTGTTTATATTTAATTGTGTTGATTATGTAATGAAATCACATGTGAACTAAAGTCAATAAAACTGTAACCTGACAAATTAATAGATGTCTTTTGGCTCTTTTCTTCTTTCTAGCTGACATAGAATATATTGTATATACAGTACATATAACGTATATCTTAGATCCTTAATTCCTTATTTCATATTTCTTTTTATACTTTATATTTTGCTAATTTTGGGAGTAACTGGGACCCTGTGTATATAATTTCATTCCATCTCATGTGATGTAAATGACAATAAAGTTGACTTGAACTAGAACAGCATGTTTTTGAACTGTCCGCTGTACAATATTTATTACCCACTCACAAAAACGAGCAAGTTTGTTTGGTCCAATTCAAAACGGCCACCACAACTAATTGACATTAGTCAAAAATGGCCATAACTGTCAATTTTACAAACACTGACCTAAAAGATGTGTTCATCATCTAAGATCATCCTATGAGAAATGACACAGCCATTTTGCTGAAACTATGTCATTGACATCAAGCACATTCTCAAACCGTGAGGTCTTGCATGATATGATAGAACTCAAAGTACATGTTGGGGGTGACTAACTGCTAGCACCAGACTAAATTCAGCGAATTATCTATAAAGTTGAATGAGTTTTAGCCCTTTATGTCTTTGCTAGGATCAGTTAGCCATGGATGACCATCTTGAATTGGATTGACTTCAAAAAGTAGAGTTGAAGATAAAAGATGTGTTTATCTTCAACTCTCTACATTTTGAAGTCAATCCAATTCAACAGTTTATTTCTCTAGCACTACAACAAAGCTGTCTCAGTGCACTTTACAGAAAGACATATAGACACAAATAGAAAAGACAATTAGTAAATTTCTCTATCTATGGAAGCCAGCAGACTTGTTGAATCTTCACTTCGTCGCAGCCCTGAGCAAGCACAATGGCGACAGTGGAAAGGAAAAACTCCTTTTTAAAAGGAAGAAACCTCCAGCAGAACCAGGCTCAGGACAAGCGTCCATCTGCTTTAACCGGCTGGGTCATTCAGGAAGGCCATCCATGGCTAACTGACATTAGCAAAGATATAAAGTGTTAAAATTCAGTCAAATTTACAGATAATTTGCTGAATTCGGTTTGGTACTAGCAAATGGTCAACCCCAATATATATTCTGAGTTTTATCATGTCATGCAAGATCTCGCAGTATGAGAATGTGAAAGGATATCATTAATATAGTTTCACCAAAACAGCTGTAGGTCTGTCATTTTTCAGTATGTAGATTAATTAAGTTCCAAGATGGCCGTGCTCAGAGCAGTTGCAGCTTCACAGGCTCCCGGTACTATCCCAGCTTTTAGAAGTTTTGATGTTGGCTCTGTGCCTGACTCCGCACGATTTATGCATGTGAACTATAGCCGAACCGAATTGATGAAAACAGGAGCAGATTTGCCACGAAACATAGCAGAAATCAACAGCAAACTCAAAACTACGCTCGGCAGAATGCAGATCTTAAAGTCATCTACCTGGAAGCTGCAGCAGAGGCGTTCCAGCGGGCAGAAGAGAAAGCACTGCTCCCAGCTTAAGAAGAGAGGATGCCGGGCGGGGGTTATGGTGAGGCTACGAGCTAACGCTAATTCCGGAAAACTCCCGATGCCATCTCTCTTCTGTCGAACGTCCGTTCGTTGGACAACAAGATGGATTTACTTCGTCTGAGAGCGAGTGCCTCAGAAAAGATGAAGAAGTGTGCGGTGGTTTGCCTCACAGAAACGTGGATTTCAAGTGAAACGCTGGATACAGTCTTCCAGCTGGATGACAGACTCTTTTTTCGAGCAGGCCGCTGCAGCGAGCTAATGTGGAAATCACGGGGAGGCGGAGTGTGCATTTACGTGACTAAAAGCTGGTGCACAAACTGTACTGTTGTAAATAGTATATGCTCGCTCGATGGCTTTGGAGCAAATAACAGTGAAATGTCAGCCACATTATCTACCCCACGAGTTCACAGTGACTTTCATCACAGTTATTTACATTCTTCCGGATGCTAATGCTAATGAAACACTACAGGAGCTACATGATATAATCAGCTCACTGCAGAAAAAACACCCTGAGGCTCTCTACGTTGTAGCCGGAGACTTTAATCACGTGAATCTAAAGGATTGTCTCCCAAGCTTTAATCAGCATGTGGCAATTCCAACATGTGGGAACAACACGCTGGACCGTGTTTACACAAACGTAAAAGATGCATACAAAACCGAACCCTGCCCCTACCTATGACCGTCAGACAACATCTCAATCTTCCTGGCTCCGGCTTACATGCCCCCGCTGAGATGCTCCAGACCGGTACAAAAGAAAGTTAAATGTTGAATCCAGGACAGTGGCCCCATACTGAGAGATTGTTTTGATCGAACAGACTGGCAGGTTTTCAGAGAAGCTGCTGAAAATGGAGAATCGCTTGATCCAGACCAATACACATCCTCAGTTCTGGGTTACATTAGTACATGTACTGACACCGTCTTCACTATCAGATATGTTAAAAGCTACCCAAACAGAAAACCTTGGCTGAATGCAGAGGTGCTCACCCTGCTGGAAGCCAGGAACGCTGCCTTCAGGTCTGGAAGCTCAGAGGAGCTGAGTAGGACAAAGAAAGAGCTGGTTGCTGGTATTAAGAAGTCCAAGGCCACATATGCACAGAGGATCGAGGGTCAATTCACCTCGCAAGACCCTCGAAGCATGTGGAGGGGCATTAAGTGCATAACAGATTATAAAGGAAGGAGTGAACAATGCCCCAAAGACCCATCTCTGCCTGATGCCCTCGACAAGTTCTATGCTCGCTTTGAAGACCTGAACAGACCATCCAACACCAGACTCACCTCACCACCGGATGTAGAGCATCTCAGCGTGACCTCAGCTGAAGTAAGGAGTACTTTCAAAGGGATTAATCCGCACAAGGCAACCGGCCCAGACAACAACCCTGGAAAAGTGTAAAAGAATGTGCCGATCAGCTCTGTGAGGTGCTGGCAGACATCTTTAACAGCTCACTTACCCTGGAGACAGTTCCCACCTGCCTGAAGACTGCCACCGTCATCCCAGTCCCAAAAAGCTCTAAAGTGACTGGTCTGAATGACTATCGGCCAGTGGCCCTCACCCCGATAGTCACTAAATGCTTCGAAAAACTGGTTATGACTCACATCAAAACAACCATCAACATCAACGAGGACCCTCATCAGTACGCATACCGTGACAACCGATCAACGGAGGATGGCATCTCCTCTGTGGTCCAAACTGTGCTCAACCACCTGGAGCAGAAAAACTCTTACGTCCTTATGCTCTTTGTGGACTTCACATCCGCCTTCAACACCATGATCCCCCAAACCCTGATGGACAAACTATTCACACTAGGACTAAGCCCCTCCATTTGCAACTGGGTACTAGACTTCTTAACAAACAGACCACAGGCAGTGAGGATCCACAACTTCTCCTCCTCCACCATAACCCTCAGCACTGGCTCTCCTCAGGGATGTGTGTTGAGCCCCCTCCTGTTTACTCTGCTCACGTATGATTGTGCAGCTACCCATCCAGGCTGTCACATTGTAAAGTTTGCAGATGATACAGCGGTGGTGGGATGCATCACAAACAATGATGAGTCCAGCTACACACAAGAAGTGGAACACCTGGAGAGCTGGTGCAAAGAGAATAACCTTCACATCAATGTGAAGAAGACAAAGGAGATGATTGTGGACTTCAGAAGGAACAAAAACACCTACACCCCCCTGAACATAAGAGGATCCGTGGTGGAAGTGGTCTCCAGCTACAAGTACTTGGGTGTGCACATGAATGACAACCTCAGCTAGAGCAACAACACCACCAGCCTGATCAAGAAAGCTCATCAGAGACTCTACTTCCTCAGGCGGCTGAGACGAGCTGGTCTGGGAAGCTCAGTCCTCACCTCTTTCTACAGGTGTGCAGTGGAGAGCATCCTGTGCTCCAGCATCAACGTGTGGCATGGAGGCTGCACAGCTGCAGAAAGAAAAGCTTTGCAGAGAGTGTTGAAGGCTGCACAGAAGTCTGTTGGAGTCAGGCTCCCCACCATCACAGACATCTACACCTCCAGATGCAGGAAGAGAGCCACCTGCATCATGAAGGACCCCACTCACCCAGCACACACACTTTTTGCCCCACTCCCCTCAGGAAGGAGGTTGAGGAGCATTAAGTGTAGAACCACTAGACTGAGGAACAGCTTCTACACTGAGGCTGTTAGACTCATGAATCTCTAACCAGAATAATCACTGTGAAAAAAATCACATCATGTTGCTGCTGATCTGTTTCAATGTCGCTGCTGATCTGTTTCAATGTTGGTGTGTTCATGCGTGCTCATCTGCTTACACGGACTCGTGTTCAGGTTTGTGCTGATGTTTGACGTGATTTTTTTATGCTATTAGTGCTTAGTGTATATTTAGTTGATGTTTTTCTTAGTTAATACCTTGGATGTTATCATTGTTTTTCTTTTACATTTTATTGTTGGATGTAACTGGGACCCTGTGTACATAATTTTGCTCCACCACATGTACCACATGAGGTGCGAAGGACAATAAAGATTCTCTGAGTCTCTGACGCTGACTCTGACTAAATTCCTGGCATGAAAGGCAATGGGTAATATGCATGCCTTCAAGTAGTTCTGGGGCTTTTAATATAATCTGTTTTTCATGTGTAACTCGTCTAATAAGCCTCTTCATGATGCGTGTAGGCCACCGCGTGGTTTAGGGCTAGGACTGCCTCATGAGGAGGGATTCATTTGTGTTCTGGTCCCCACTGACCCCCATCATCCCAGCATCAGTGGGATGTCCCAGGTGTGTCGCCTTCTGGCCTTGCTCATGCTCTCCAGCTGCACAAAGGTACAGCACCCCACTCTCCTACACACACCCTCTCAAATAGTAAAATAAAGCTTTAACAATGCTTTAAATAGACGTTAAGAAGCTTCAGGGTGTCTTCTTTCATCAGGTCTCCTCTGCTAACTCTCTGGAGCTTGTGAAAGAGCAGTGGAGCAGCTACAAGGACCAGTGCCTGGACTTTATCAATGCCACGCCCCCTGCTATAGGTGAGTCTTTTTCTATCACACCTGGCCGAGATGCATTAAGGTACAAAAAGCTAAGCTGAGCTATACAAGTCATCTCTACTGATTTGCTTTCTACTATAGGGTTGGTGTGCAACAGAACCTTTGATTTGTACGCCTGCTGGCCCGATGGACTTCCAGGCACCGTTGTCAATGTTAGCTGTCCATGGTTCCTGCCTTGGCATCAAAAAGGTCTGTATGAGTAAAAATCTATTTAAAAAAATCTGTTTCCTTTTTTTAAAACCAGGATTAAACAACTCTGTAAGAGTTTGTTGAGGTTTTGGTCAATATATATCAGTCAATAAATGTGGAAAGAGTGGCCTTTGCACTTGACCTTTTTGCACATGCATTTATGGCAATTTCTGTTTCAGAGTGCAAAATCTGAAGAGAAAGCATTAAATGGATGTAGGCGATTCACTTGATAACCGTAACACGTGCACATTAGTCCCCATTGAACCATCACCTACAGCCTAATAACACCTAAGCCTTAGCTTTAGCTCCTGACATCATTTCAGTTGCTGGGAAATAATTATTCAGTTGCTGCACACGTAGTAGCAAAGGATGTGTGAGAGAAATAATTCTTCAATGGAAAATGTCAAAAAAGAGGCAGATTTTCACAAGTGCCAAGTTGATTTGACCTTCATTTACAGGAGGAAATTTAAAAAGAGCTGAAAACTCCAACTAAAAAAGTCATGTGGTCTCCTTATGTCTAAACATTTTGCAGCTCTCGTTTTTTCTCTTTTTTAATGAGCACACCATTCTTTTTTGGCGTCACTTTATTGCACAGCTATCCCAAATGGCAAGGACACCGTAATCAGTGTTCAGTAGATTTTAATGGCTTCTTTTATGCATTCTGTACAGTCCTGACCAATGGAAATAAAGCTGGCATGCACACACCTCAATGCTATTAAATCTGAGAAAACTCATGCCAACCATGAAAGAATTTTTCTTACCAAAATAAAACTTCTGAACAATCTGTTTTGATTCAATCTCAAGAGCTCATTTTAAGGTTAAGAGGCTTATTTTTAGACATTAGTTTTGTGGACTTTGACAAACTACTGGAACCGTTTTGACTCTTTTCTGGAGACGCTACAATTTTTCAAGCTCCACTTTTGACACAAAATGTTGAACGTACAGTCGTGGACTCATGTTGCGTAAGAGTCCTTCTGGACTGAATACTTCCAACATGGGCCATGAAATGGTTTCAGTCTTTCAAGCTGTTTTTAGATCCTTAACAATGTAAAGCATTGGATTTTGGGTTCTTCAGCCATGCTAAGAAAGTCACATGTTAAAACTTATTGACATCAAGTTCGTTGAGGACACCATGCACATTCAGTTTCTTTAGTGTAAATAAAAGATGAATGGCTTGAGATGAATACCCAGCTCTTCATGTGTCCTTGGCTTGTTTAGAATAAATAAAAAAACCTTTCCAATCATATAAAAGTTTGTGTTGAAGTTTCAGAGTGTGAAGGCTAAACGTCAGTCAAGCTGTACAATAACGTTAACCTTGTTGATACTTCACGCTGTCGTACTTTAAAAGATGATTCCACTCATCTGGTAAGGCGTGATTCACAGTTTTCAACATTTTCACAAACGTACCCAACATACTCTATTTGGAGATGCCACCTCGTTCCCCCTCTGAAAGAGTACAAAAAATTCAATTCAAATTCAATTCAAAAATACAATTTATTAATTCCAAAGGGGAATTAAGTGTTGCTGTAGCTCATCATCCTGGTTCCATTCAAGAGTTGTTATAGATGCTGATAGCTGTGGGCAGGAAGGATCTCCTGCAGTGGATCTGAAGAATCTGGCCACAGATACCAATCCGTCCACCAGGATCCAGCTTGCTGTCAGATCCAGTGGGCCTCTCGGTCCTACTGGGCAGCAGAACTACCCATATCCGAGCAGAATTCCTCCCTGAGTGATGGTCACTCCTCCCAGCAGTCTGCTGGACCCCTTTGCCACGGACAGACAGCTGAAGGTGCCGTGGAATGATCCCGGTCTTCCAGTTGTCATGAGCAGAGTTTCCCACCAGCTCCAGGATCTCGGAAGTCAGGTATTCAAGCACCACAGCCAGGTTGACGGGAATTCATCCATGGCGCCTCCTTTTCAACTCATTTGGGATTTGGGGCTGTAGTTGAGGTATTTGAGCCTTTGAGATGTTAATCAGCCGTTCCTGGTTGTTAAAAAACACCTTGTTGCCATGGTTATGCATCATAACAAACGCTCAAAAGTAAAAAGGTTTCAGTAAAATTCCTTCCAGCTGCACAGTATCCGATACCAGATTAAATAATCATCCGAAAAAAGTGATTTACATCCAGAAAAAAGAAGAATTTAAGTTTTCAAATGCAATAACTCAGAATGAAAGTAGCAGAGCTGCTCCAACATGCAGCCACCCCGAGCGGCGCAATTCTAGAATGAAAAAATGTCGACTTTCACTAAATCTATTATAAGTAAAGCTGAGACATAAAACTCGTGTTCTTACATGGATATTGTACGAAGATAAAATTGTCATTTTACATTTGTACATGTCTCAAAATTGTTTAAATCGTACAGATACCAATGTACAGATATGTATGGTAAACTGCAAACACCCGAAACTAACTCACTTACTGAGAGAATGTTGTGATATTTTTGGGAAAACGATAAAGTTAAACAGAGACACATATCTTTGCTATAATGTGGAGCCTACAAATATTTATCTTTTAGTGCTAATGTTGTTTAATTCTAAAACTGAAAGAACAAAGAAAGCAATTCTCACAAAGAGGCACTCAAACAGGCTGTGCGCTCCTGTGACTGCTCTCTCTCTCGCTCTCTCTCTCTCTCTCTCTCTCTCTCTCCCTCTCTCTCTCTCTCTCTCTCTCTCTCGAACCTGGAGTTTGATCACATGAGCAAGTTGGACATCTTTGTACGATGATGATGATGCTTCGAGCATATTAACATTTAATCCAAAGTTAGATTCCTGGAGAAGTCAGGCGCGAGGTGCGGGAGCTCTTTCACCCAGAGCGTGATCAGTGGCGACTGTGCAGATGAGTTGTTCGTTTGCCGTGTGTGTCAGCTCTGAGCACTTTGGGAGAGAGAGGAGCTCATCTGAGCTGCTGCTCACTCAGTTGGGAACATTGCTCGCACCCGGGGTCACCGTACATCAGATGGTGGTGTGTCAGTATTTACCATGTAACATGTCAGTCATACAAGGTATATTAAAAAAGTTTAATTTTTTTCCATTTTGAAAAGTGTACACCTGTCTTTGACACCCCCCACCACACACACACACACACACACACACACACCCGCCCAGCATATGGTTTTTACGCTTGCAAACATGTTGAAATCTGTGAATCACCCGTAAAATAAGCATTCCTTTTATAACAGGCTTAATCACATTTATATTCATGTTACACGATGGGGACAAAAAGAGAAGCAATTTGTGAGGAATATTTGCAAAATGAGTGACAAAGGACGGCACTTTAAATGAGAAAGAAATCAATGTCTCGAGTTCTTTTTTACACCAAGACATGGTTTTAATCTTGTCTTTAAAAAAGTGCTTTATGTAACCAAAGAAAAGTTTAAAACAATTTTAATTAAATTTCACTTCAGTTTATTTATTTAGCTCCAAGTCACAACAGAAGTTGTCTCAGGGCACTGAACAGAAACATTCACTAACATAAAAAGCCAATTAGTAAAAGTTCTCTATCTAAAGAAGCAGCAGATTGTCTTGACTCTTCACTTTGTCACAGTCTCCCATCCTGAGTGAGCATAAAGGCAACAGTGGAAAGGAAAAACTCCCTTTTAACAGGAAGAAACCTCCAGCAGAACCAGGCTCAGGACGAGCGGCCATCTGCTTCGACCGGCTGGGTTTGAGAGGACAGGAAGTAGAAACAGAAATAGATTTGCAGGTCCAGGTGAACTTTCTATGGGAGGAAAGAAAAAACAAACCACACGTTAAGATAGAAATAATTAAAAATACAAACTACTTATTTGTATTCATTTGTAACTATTAATTTGATGAAAGGAGATCAATTTGTCATCCAAGCCAAGAGCAACATAACTAAGGGATAGCTCAAGAAACCAAGCTAACCCTAACTATAGGATTTATCAAAAAGGGAAGACTTAAGTCTAATCTTAAAAGTAGACAATGTGTCGGCCTCATGGACCAAAACTGGAAGTTAGTTTCACAAGAGAGGAGCCCAATAACTCAAATATCCTCCTCCCATTCTGCTTTTGGAAACTCTAGGAACCACAAGAAAACCTTCGGTCTGAGAGCCAAGTGCTCTTTTAGTAAAAAAATGGGACAATAAGATCTTTAATATAAGATGGAGCTAGGTTGTTGAGAGAAACATGGGAAACATATTACACAGTGAAACAACTGTTTCCTAGGTTAAAGAACTTGAGTTGGTCTCCTGTTTTTTGAAGGAGTCCAACTCAAATCAAGAATAAATTTCCCTAGCAGTAAAATCTGTGTATTTCAGGGGACAATTTGTCACGCAAAAAAAGGTTGCTCCATTAAAATTTTTAAAAAGAAGACGTTTTCTCATGAAGGTCAGGCTGTTTTTCTACCGTCTGCTGTGCACAAGTCAAACGGGAAGGAGAGGCAGCAAACAGAACAAATTACTCATTTAAATCAAACAAATATTTTGAATGCTTATAATTTGACAGTAGCTCTTGACCAGCCTCGAGAGATTTCCTTCAAGACTGTTGTCAAATAAGGGCAACAAGTGGATTTATAAAAGTGATCGATTCGTTTTGAAGGATCACACTCGCACTAAATTAAAGCAAATGGCGAGAAAATCACAGCAGAGAATCTTTGTTTACATGTGGAGTATGGTTTGGACTTTACTTGTGACAGTGAGCTGGTTTCTAATATTTCCTGTGGACTGTTACTTTGGCAGGGGTCTTAACTTTTGTTTCCTATGTGAAAAAAAGATTTGATGTTTAGCATTTCTGCGCTGTATTAACTATGTGCTGTTTTATTAATCTTCCATTTCCAATACCAAATATAAAGTAAATACGTTTTATATTTTAGGAAATGTTATTTACCTTGATGTGAACAAACCACATTAAATTTAAAACCTCACTCTGTGTTCATGAACAGTTCAGCGGGGTCTGGTCTACAGAGTCTGCAGTGAAGATGGTAAATGGGGACAAAAAAATACTAGCGAATGTGAGGACGACCCCCGTGAGGTCTGTAAACAACACAGTGTGTGTGTGTCTGTGGATAAAAGTGTCTTTTGAAAATTAATTGTTGCCATTCAACGTTAATAAGAGTGACAGGTGGTTGAGCAACACTGTGACTCGTCTTAAACAACACAATAAGAAAAGGTTTTCGTCTGTTCACGCATTTATTTATGTTTTGCCCTCAAAATGATTCCGTTTGTGAGTTTGTGTGTGGGGCATAAATAGAGTCCGTGAAAGTATCTACGTTTGTGTCTCCACTGGGTTTGCAGCAGCAGTACGGCCACATCCTCAGCCAGCTTCGAATCATGTACACAGTGGGCTACTCGCTTTCACTGGGAGCCTTGCTGCTGGCACTGGGAATCCTCATCAGCTTCAGGTATGAATGAAATGCATGACACATGAAGAGATTGGCAGAAGAATAAATAGAAAACAGGAAAGAAACTGAAGACAGGCATACACACACACAAAAAAAGAAGAATTAGCAAAAGAGAATAGAATAATAAACAGTGAAAACTAATTATCATGAAAGAAGATGTGAACAAGTTGAAATTTGAATAAAACAAAGATAATTAGGGGAACAAAAAAATTGAAAGGGAAGAAGATAAGAAGTAAATTAGAGCTCAAAAGAAAACACGGATTTCTGTAAAGGTATAAAAACAATGGAAATAAATAAAAAAAGATAAAATATAGAAAATGGAGAAGAATGGACAAATAGAGGGACAGAACATGATCGTTCATGTTTCTACGTGTGCATTAGGAAGCTTCACTGCATGAGGAACAGCATCCACATGAATCTGTTTGCGTCCTTCATCCTGAGAGCTGTATCCATCCTGGTCAAGGACGCCTTCCTCACCCTCACTCTGGACCCAAGGAGCAGCAGTGATGTTCAGACACAAGGCTGGGTCAACATACCGGTGAGAGCACACACGTTCACTGAGCAGCTCGTCTCTCTAACAGCTAAGCATTTCACTGATAGCTTTAGGTTATTTATTTATTTTTGCTTCGCTACTTTAGTATTTAGCGTTGTCATAAATGTATGTTTCTAATTACAAAATTAGTTTTCTGCATTTAACACGTCACACCTGAGACACACCCAGTTGGAGCAGTGGGAAGCTATGTGGGCACCCGGGAGCAATTAGGATTGGGTGTCTTGCTCAAGGACACTAAAATGTGTGGGAATGGTGGGGAGTTGAGCGTGCAACTTTCTGGTCTCAAGTTGGCTGCCCAACCCCATCTCACCCCGCTTAGTAGTTATTGCAAAAGTTCAGTAGGTACAGTACAATCGCTTCAGGAAAACATGACTTTTTGTTAGGAATTATTAAAAATGCTAAAATAGGAGGATTTGAAGGAAACGTCTACAAGACAGTGGTGAGACCAGTTATGTTGTATGGTCTGGAGACAGAGTTGTGGGAAAAAAAGACAGGAGAAAGAACTGGAAGTGGCACAAATGAAGATGCTGAGGTTCTCCTTAGGGGTGACAAGGATGGATAAGATTAGGAATGAGATCATCAGAGGTACAGCACAGGTTGAACAACTGGAGAGGCCAGACTGAGAAGGTTTGAACGTGTCCAGAGGAGGGACAGTGGGTATATTGGTAGAAGGATGTTAGAAATGAAGCTGCCAGGAAAAAGACAAAGAGGAAATATGTGGATGCACTTAAGAGAGGACATGGAGGTAGTTGGGGTGAGGACAGAGGATGGTGGAGGAGGATGACTTGCTGAAGAGGGAAAAGCCAAAAGAAGAAGAAGAAAAAGCTAAAATAGGAGGATACACACTTTTGCGATAAACAAATTACACCAGTGACAAAAAGGTTGCAATTCTAGGTATATATATATATATATATATTTATCTTAGTCTTTTATTATATTTTTGGGTAAATATTTGAAATAAGAAATGTGAGAATTTTTTTGCAGTTGAGTAAATTACTTTGGAATAAAACAGAATCATTTGTATTTTCATCACATCTGCAGCTATCAACATTAAATCCACACAAATAAAAAAGCAGTAGTGCAAGTGAGATATGACAGGTCATTATGAGATGATTTATATTGTTGCTACAGCTACGTTCAATCTTTGTGTTGTTGTGGAGTTGCAGCAGGAAAGAATTACATTATTTGGTGATTTCATCTTCAGTGCGTCTAATTTTGTCCACTGTAATGTTTCATCTATCTAATCTTTAAACATTGTATTAACTCAACCATCTAACTGAACTAAGATATAAGAAAATAGTGTTTAGCTCTGATTCATATGGAGTTCATGAACATTAATGCCACACTCATGTTGCCATGAAAATAAAGTCCACCTTCGTCGACTTTATCCATTTATTCCACTGACATGTGTCCTGTTGTGTGTCAGGGTGTGATATGGTGCCGTGGTGCCGTGGTGATGATGCAGTACAGCGTGATGGCCAACAACTACTGGCTGCTGGTGGAAGGCATCTACTTGCACAGCCTCCTGGTCATCACTGTTTTCAGCGAGAAGAAATACTTCTACTTTTACCTGGCCATCGGCTGGGGTAAGAATTCAAACTGTGATAAAAACTGTTCTTGTTACAGGAACTCTCCGTTCTACTTTCTATTATTGCTCACTGCCAAAAGGAAACCGAGCCAAAGTGTTTGCTTTTATATCTCTGTTTGTATGTTTGTTTTGTCAGTCTGTCAGCAAAATATCTCATGAACAAGAGGACTGATTCAAATGAAACTCCCCAAAACTAATCATTGGCTGTATTTATACCTGAGTCCACTCGAATGAAAATGGCAGCTGACATTAACAAACACAAAAATACCTATAACCTAGTCAGTTGTGCAAATACTGAGCTAAGATTTGATGTGGTGGTAGCTGAGAGTTGTCCCTATTATACATGCCAAGTGTTCACCAAATTGCATACTATCCCATAAGATTGTGCATGCTGTCATTTTCAGAATTTACAAAAAATGGGTGTAGCTCTGTCATTTCTCAGTATTTTTATCCCAGATTAAAACTCTGGCATTAAGGCAGTTGTTGATGTGCATTCCATTATTGAATGCTAGGCCTTTAATTAATTAGTTATTCTAAAAGATCAATTTAAAGACTCTATATAGTGGAGTAGTAGCTGGTGTTTAGTCAGAAAGAGGACATCAGCAACAGGAAATGTGTCTAAAACAGAAAAATTACGTAAACAGATCACCTCAACTGTATGGATTACCAAGATTTACAGTCTCTGAAGACATCTAGTGTTGATGACAACTCCTGAAACAAGAACACAAAGCAAATACAGAAGACACAGTAAATAGAGATTATATAGAGACAGAGGACAATGTATGTGCAAATGCATTGTAAATCTCCCGCTAATGTTGCTAAATAATTAGTTTTAAAATGCATTTGGCATTTGTAGTTGAAACATTGATAGTAGTGTTGCATTAGTTTACAACAATTTGTTGGAAACACAAAATAGAAGCAAATCTGTAAATTTTCACTTGGGATTACTGTGATTTGGTTTCCTTCCAAGGTTCTGTTACATTTCTTGCACTTTCTGACTCACAATAAATATTTTCAGAAGAGCTTGAGATGCACACAATGACTTCTTGACATTTTTGAGAATAAAACTGAACATGCACCAAGTTCCAGCAGCACAAAGCCAGGTCATGTGAGGAAAACTGAAAGCACAAACTAATGTTCAGTTTGTCCCCAACTGTTGCAACCCACTGAGATACTGGCTTAATTGTCTTTCCTGGTACTGCTTACCAGTGGGACTGAAAGCCCAAAAAGTAGAGTTGTTTTCCTCCAGCTGTAAAGTAAAATGGTAAATGGACTATACGCTGTGATGGACTGGAGACCTGTCCAAGACCTGTCCTTGCCTCTTGCACAGTGACTGCTGGATATGGGTACCAGTGACCCTCGCGACCATAAAAGGAAAAAGTGGGTAAAAGATGATGGATGGATGGATGGATGGATGGATGGATGGATGGATGGATGGAT